GTCAATTTCCCTCGATTTATGAGTTTTTGAATGTCCTCTTGGTATCTCCCGCCTCTTATTTAGTTGATATTATGTTTAGGTACACAACATACATTGTACATAATCAAAGCGTAGTGACTTTGTTGATCTTATTGAACTTCGAATAAAAGATAGCCACATTCAGTAAAGTCTGCTTCTAATTTAATTTAAGAAATAGTTCTTTCGTGCCATGCTTTATGCTCATTTTAACATGGGTAGGCATTATATTTGTCAATATCTTTATACCTAGCGTTAGCGAGGTGTAAAATATTGACAAACATAATGCCTACCTATGTTAAAATAAGCATAAAGCATGGCATGATAGAATTATTTCGATTCTGATAGGAATATTTAAAACTTTTGTACTTCGAAGCAGACCTATAATATGCGTTCAAAAGGCATCCATTTTGATTTGATGAAGTCAAAATGTTATAAAAAAATCAACCGTTTTACGATAAACAAATAAACAGATACATGTAAACTTACTTTTAGAATGATTTCATTTAATTTCCTAGCGAGTAACATCAAAACAAACGTCCATTTTGATTTCCGGCGTTGTTCAAAACACAGCTTACGTTGCAATTTCAATTGTGAAGTCAATCACGTGCAGCCCAAGTTTTATTGGAATAAGAACATGGCTTTGTTTCCAAAGCGAAAGAAAAAACGTCATATTAGAAGAACATTTAGATATTTACAGTAAGGGACAGATGATGACTAAAATTTTGGACCAAAATATGATTTTAATTTTTTCATATCAAAAGCGTTCCTTTTTATGCAGCAACTTTCAAACAGCACTTGCATATTGATATTTATCTCCCAGTCGATATCAGTGGCGTAGCTAAGCCATTTTTAAGTGTACGCCCGAACCTCGGCGAGGAGTTTGAGGGTCCCCAGCAGGTACAGGGCAAGGGAACTTCCAGCAGGGGTCCGACGGAATCTAACGATTTATTGAGAGAGATATACCATTTCTGTCATTAAAACACATCAATAGCAACATACTTTAGAGTCTAATTTCTTGATTTGTTCATGTATAATTTATTCATAGTGTTGATTTGGAATCTAACGGCCAATATTTGTTACTATGAAATATGTTTAAAAGGAGATGTGGGGTAAAACAATCAATCGACCAAAGATCCAAACCTTTCGAAATATAAAAAAAGCAAGTCTACATTTTCAATGGTGTCGTTCTTTTGATTATTATGACTTAATCCAGTTTTCTCCCCCTTTTATGCGCAAATTTCGTTAATGGACAAGTACATGCAATAAAAAATTTCCATAGATGGTCAGGTGTGATATGAACATACTCAAAGGGTTCCATGGAATCCTGTATCTCCCCTGGGATTGCTGCTGTCGGTTAAACTTTAAAAAGTGAATCCATTTATCAGTCAAATACAGGATTTAAAAGAAATCAAACTGTTCTTTAAATGTTTTTTCTTGATCATGGAAGATAAGCTTCTGTCCAAGTTTCATAACAATCTATGAAAGTTTACAAATGTAGCAGGTGAAAAATATTTAATCCAAGACCGTCTGTTAATTGCCCCAAAAAATTGGTAAAATACTGAAAAATGAAAAAAAAATAAAAATTTTAGACTGAAATTTGCAGACTGTTATAAAAGTCTTGAACTCATGTAAAAATAAAGGAATATATCTCCCCATACAAAGCTCTGATTCTTTCTCCGGAATTGGCTATACTTTAGGTAAGTTTTATTTTGATCAGTTCTTCCAATGTTTTTATTAGGTTTTGGATTTTCAAATATTTCGGCCTCGAGCATCACTGATGAGACATTAATTGTCGAAATGCTCATCTGGTGCAAAAAAAAATTGGTACAGTTGGTGTTACCATTTTTACATAATATTCGATGAAGTTTTGACAAAATAATTGATGCGTAACAAACGGTATCTACTTGTTAATTAATAAAAACAATGTTCTTTTCAGTAAAATGCGGAAAAAATTAAAAGTAAATTTTCATAATTATGCTCTGGATACTCTTTTGATCATAAAAAAGTTTCTGCCTATATTCCGTAAAATTTCATGAAGGTTTGACAAATTCATTGATGTTTTAAAAAAAATTTAACCACAGGCTGGACATAAATATTGACGACGCCAACGCCGATTACGGAATCTAGGATCGCTATGTCTCGCAGGCTCGACAAAACCGCATATCGTATCTCAGCAGATAATGAACTGCTTTAAACTATAGGAAAGGGAGGATAATTCACAGTATATTCAGATTTTGACAGAAAACGAACAAATAAATAATATGATACCATTTGATTAAAAAGTAAATTTCGTCCGACTGTTATCTTCAATTACAAGTCAGTGGAGAAAGAACTACAAGGCTCATGTGCTTTTAGCCTGATCTTTTAATTTATTTAGATTAAAATATTTTTTCTACAAAATTCATGTGTACGCCCGGGCGTTTTGACGTAAACGTAGCTACGCGCCTGGATATGAAAGACGAAAGATACCAGAGGGACATTCAAACTCATAAGTCGAAAATAAACTGACAACGCCATGCTACAAAAGAAAAAGACAAACAGACAAACAATAGTACACAAAACACAACATAGAAAAACAAAGAATGAGCAACACGAACCCCACCAGATCCTGCTCCACATGTGGCACCCGTCCTGTTGCTCATATTGTACAAACCCGGTAAAAAGTCTAATGACATTCTAGAGCTTGCGTTCCAATCAGTATTTTCTTATCACAAAGAAACTATTTAACCACTGCTTAGGGTTCCAAAAAGTAATTTTTGAAAGTATTACATGGCCGTAAATAGTCCCCAAATAATAATGAGTGCAGGGCAAAGCTCTGCTAGTGGGAACAGAGGGACAAAGCTCCCCATTAATCTCAGGGGTTTTATGGTTAAATGAAAAATAAACAACTATGTATAACGGACAACAGATGAAGAAATTGATGATGAACAATTGAAAAAAATGCAAAAACACATTAAAAACTTACAAGTTGTTATTGTTGGAATTTGTTTTTGTATAGACCACTGGAAGTATTTTTTTATATTGAAGACTTGATCACTTTAATAAGCCACTAGTCTAAATGCCACATATAAAGATAGTCGGTTAGATAAATTCGTTACACATTGTGCTTGTACCCTAATACGATATATACATGGAGTCAGTAAATTCCGTATGGGTTGAGAGCGAACACTAGTGTTCTCAATTGAGGTATAAACCTAATGAGACAACTATCTATTCTAAATGACAACAATGAACATAACCTATACAGTACAATCAGCTATATGCTCCGACATGAAAAATGTAAAACAATTAAAACGAAAAAAAAAAACAACAGCTTGAATAACATAGAAATAAAGGCAACAGTAGTATACCGCTGTTCGAAATTCATAAATCGATTGAGAAAAAACAAATCCGGGTTACAAACTAAAACTGAGGGAAACACATCAAATATAAGAGAAGAACAAAGACACAACAGAATCACTAAAATGCAACACACACAGAAACGAACTATAAGATAACAATAGCCATTTTGGTACAGGACATTTTAAGAAAAAATGGTGGGTTGAACCTGGTTATTAAACGAAAACCATCTATGACATACTGCAAACAACACATGCACAGAATTTCAGGCTGAAGATAGTCGATAAGCTCTAGAATGTCATACTGACTGGGAGGCTCCTGACTTCGGATAGCTTGATACAGGCTGTGGGTAAACAAGTCTGCGACCGCTCAAACCTCCTAACCGGGGACATTGGTGTAACAGCGCAACATAAGAACAACTGTGTAGATTAAGTGAAAAGATTTCTTGAGATAGACATAAAGCATAAAAAACTTTGAAAAAAGTCAACAGAGTAACGATCTGGATGGGCTCGCAGTTACTTAAAGCTTGTTCAAACCAATTGCAACACACACATACATCAAGATTTCCAAGAGTAAAATATCAGTAAACATCCAATGGATTTAGTATCAAGACAGCATAAGCAGTATGAAAATAAAATGGAAAAATATTAGTATAGTAAGGATGTAGGACCAGAAGTGTTCATAACTATTGCATTACAGATTTTGTTATGATTTAATTAAGAAATAATTCTTTCATGCCATGCTTTATGCTCATTTTAACATGGGTAGGCATTATTTGTCAATATCTTTATACCGAGCGATGATAAAATGAAGGGAATGAAAAAGTTTGGACTAAGCAGGCGAATTGGTCCTATGTTTCAATGTCTGTTTTATTATATTGTTACATATAAATTATTTTACAGAGATGTTCTTAATTGTCGCAGCAAATACAGATACAGATACATAAAATTACCGTTAATGTCATTTGGCAAGATTATTAACGTAATTCGCCATGAGGGTTCCAATGACAATTTTCATTTACCCCAAAACTGGGACTATTATACTAATGGGACTGGAAACTGAATGTTAGTATAATAGTCCCAGCCCAAAACAACACGAACAGTGCATCCTTTTAATATTTTGAATTACAATAAAAGCTATATGATGGCACATATTTTCAGATTTTTTCAGAATTTTGTTGGGGAAGTCACCCTCTCTTGATTTAGAAGCAAAGCTTCGGTGAGCATATGATTCCGCCGTACCAATAACTGTTGTGGTTGTAGTGTTACGCCCATGGATAAACGAAACTTTATTTACCGCATCGGTGGTTTCATGGTAATGTGGTCCTTTCAAGTGCAGAAGGTAATCGGTTCGTTTCTTGCCAAGGTCAATATAAAGACTAGAAAATTGGTATTTATCATTTCCAGCTAAGTTCGCGGCATCAATTTGTAAATGCAAAGACTGGTCGGCTTTGAATAAAAATGAAATGTCTTGGTATAGTGACAACTATAACCTCATGAACTTGCAAGTTATATATATACTTAGGTTATTGGTCTTATACAGCAAAGTAATCGTATAACATGATCTCGAGTAAATATGCTTTTTATTCTGTGAAGTTACTTGTTTTTTTTTCGATTTTTTTTAAACATTTTGAACACAAAATCTATATTTACGTAATGCTTTACTTATCAAAAATGGATGATACATTAATTACATCTTGCATGATAATGAATAAAAGTCTTAAATTGTGACTATAAAACTAGAAAGTCAACAAAACATATAAACAGTTTTCATAATCACACTCCCGGAAGTACTTCCTTTGCTTTCTTAAATATTTTCATGTTCATCTGTACATAACATTAAGCGCCGCTGTTTGACTAATTATAACCTGGAATTGAGGTCCCAATCCTGTTCTAAATCTTCGAAACAAGAACTCGAGAATTGTTGTCCGCTGCAGAAGGTATGCAATATCTAGCAAACATTGGACCTTAATGCTAAGATGGTTAACATACAACAACAATGTCAACAAAGCAATATCATGATTTTTAATGTAGTGCTTAGTCTATTCCAAATAAATAAAGGTTTCCTTTGAATATAACAAAACTGCTCTTAGCCATGACATACTGTATGATGAGGTTTGAGTGATTTTGAAACTTATTGTAGATCAACAGTATGCAATATCAATGTTCAAATTACACTATGAAGTTATTTTTTTGGCACGCTATGATCTTCACTAAACATTGATGTTCTCGTGTAATTTCAATAATTTTTTTAACAATGTTTTTGGTATAATAATACGTTCCAAATATTTTTGGTATAATAATACGTTCCAAATATTTTTGGTATAAAGATACGCTATGCGTTGTAAAATGACGTTAACAGTACCAATTTTACTGCACCAGATGCGCATTTTGACAATAAATGTCTCTTAAGTGATGCTCTTGGCCAAAATATTTGAAAATCCAAAACTTGATTCAAACGTTGAATAGCTGATTAAATCATAAGGGACCAAAAGGTAGAGTTCATCACAAAAAGTGATTTTGTACCTGTTTTTCCGATGTTATGTTTCCCCTTGCTTTTCGGTCATCGTTAATGCAACTTACTCTAAGTTCAATTGACAGCGGTTGGGCTAGAAAGAGCTAAACGCGTAATAAAGTGTCCGCAAAACTAAGTTGGTTTAAAGTATATAATACACTTTCACATAGTTTAGTTATTCCTCATTTGAGTAGAAGGTGTCTTCAACAATAGAATTGTGTCTATATTTACATATATGTATGGACAAATATTCTATGGTTAAATCATACCTTATTTTGGTATAAGTTGTCTTCAACAATAAAACGGTGACTGTATATATATATATATATATATATATACTTAATAATTTTTTATGATGAATACACTCTTCATAGATTCAAGAATTTAAATTTAGTACGCCACACGTACGTTTTGCGTACCTTATTTGGGTATGAGGAGTCTTCCACAATAGAACGGTGTCTTTATTTATATATATTGAGTATTTTTTCATGGTACAATTATACTTTATTTGGGGTACAAGGTGTTTCCCAAATACGTCTCAACATGCTAACTGACACTTGATGAATAGTAACTAATTTTTTATCGTTATTTTTACAATTGCCAAAATCATAAGCTAGCATAAAACCGTTAATAGGATGTAATCTTAATCCAAGTTTTTTTATACACAAAGCAACATAAATATCTTCCAGATGAAAAAACGGAACATCTTTTGATATTTTCACTATTTTTGTGACAACGTTCAAACTGGTGACGTATCCAGTACCCGAACAAAACCCTGGATATGTTGTTTGTGGATAACTTTTAAAGGAAGCATACCATTTTGACCGTTTATCTCGTATAGGATGTGCCAAATGAGCACAGCTTCCTCCAACGGCAGTCTGTAAAGCATTGTTGTTTTCCTTTATGACTCTAATTAGTCCAGGAATATGCACGTACATATCATCATCTGTTTTCATAACGAACTGTGCGTTTTTACAGTGTTTTGTTGCCCATTGATAACCCATCAATGTTTTGTAAGTGAGATTATTGTACGCGTCCTTAAAGTTTCCCAAAATAATATCCTTGGTTTGGACGTTTTCATTCTCTAACTCTTTAGTCATTGGCGATTCGCCAAGAAGAAATACGTATCTTATATGTCCTTTGTTCATTTTTGTATGCGTCAACCAAGTCTCTCTTATAGCGTTTCGACTCAACTTATTTTGAGGAGAAGATGTTATCATAATCAGTATATCGATAGACTCGTTTCTTGTTTTACAAATGTCCTCATTGTTGATGATAAAGTTAAAGCTTTCTGAGAAACAACCAGTACATTTCTGTTGCCTGTCTATTTGTGTTTGTCCAACAGATTTTTTAGTACTAGTATGTAAAGTTTTAATTAGTTCAACAGTTTTTTGCGTACTAGTGTGCAAGTGTTGAAGAGTTGTCAAAGTTTTAATCTTTTGAAGAACAACTTTTGTGTCACCTGTAGCATCATATAACAAGATTGGTTTCACATAAAGCGTTAAAGATCTGACGTTTGGGTATATGTACCAGAACATTGGGAATACAATTCCGAGTACAATAATAAATGGAAGCAGGCGTACAACGTCCTGCCTGAAATTCCTCCGCTTCATTTGAATAGTCTTATGCATGTTGTTTGGTTTTCATTTGTGAAGGTACTACGTAAATCTGAAAAAAAACAGTGTGATATAAAATGAAAGGTTTTAAATCATATGTACATAAAATTTTCTTTAACCAACACTTTCTATTTAATAGAATCGTAGTTTAATAAACCTAATGATAAAACGAAAAAAGTTTACACTAATTCGTTTTGGATATTTGGTCATTTTAAAAGTGCTTGGAATATGTATTGCAATGGGAACTTTTTGTGCTCCTCTCATCGCAAAATTGGGCCTTTATTGTAATGAATAATCTTAAGACCCAAGAACGTTTTTAATAGATACACACGTGTTTGCAGTGATACTGCAAATTTCAATGAAGGTAATATTTTCAGGACTACACACTTTATCAACAAAGATGTAAATATCTCAAACTAGTCATAACATTTTAAAAATATTGAGATTAATTAATGGAAGAAAATAAGAAGATGTCAAAGGTGCAAAAACAAACCCCCAAAAGTTAAAGATGAACACCTTGCCAAAATAAAAAAAAGACTGAAAGACTGTCAAAAGTCCACAACACAGAAAAAAAATGGTTACAAAAATCGTTTCACAACAATTCCAGAGTGAAACTAGATGTTCGGGAGGGTCATTAGTTCCTGTTTCACTTGTGACAATCGTCGTGTTCTCGGGTTCAAATAAGTTGTAATTGATAATATTAATTTATCGTACAAAAATAGGTTATGCTACTAAAAGAAATTCTGTGTCGCTTATACGTTATCGAAAGAAAATATGCAAGATGAAACAACGAAATTAAAACATAATCAACATGAATCTCTTTATACTAGAGTTGATACCGGGCTATACGGAAGTGTATGCAATTTATGCAAAGTATGGTCCTACTTTTAGAAATTTATTAAAATGGAAAATTTCGAACATGGGTTTTTATGGTTATATTATTTATAATGAAAACAAGTTGTGTTTTTCTTGTGTCGTTGTTCTCCTCTTATATTTGATGCGTTTCCCTCAGTTTTAGTTTGTAACCCGGATTTGTTTTTATCTCTATCGATTTATGAGTTTTCGAACAGCGGTATACTACTGTTGCCTTTATTTAGAAAATATCCTTTGAATGGTTTGTTCTGTTTGTTTTGACTAAGTAGACTTATTGATAAAGGTTAGAATCATGCCATTGTTATTGAATCATTATTCTCATAGTTTAGGGGATAAACATAAATTCTCTAATTCGTTTAATTAAAAAAATGTTTCACTGTTTTCATTTGCTTTGAAATTATATTAAGATTTTCCGTTGGCATTGTATGGGATAGTTTTCATTCTGTTTGTTATGACGTTTATGTAAAAATATGCCTGTATTATTGTTCTTATTTGTGTTCATAGAAATCCACTTAACTGGCCGATGATTACCTATTTGTTTTTTTTGGAGATCTGTATGTATTTATTAATATATCTTCATTTACGCGGCGTACATTTGTATGTTCGTTATGTGCAATTACGCATGTCAATTATGTCAAAAGAAAATTAAAACAATATAAAATACTATCTTTTGGTCTTTGTATATGTGAGAGAATGATAAGCCCTTTCTTCATGATTAAGAACGAGCGTTTGCGAGTACTTATCATGATAAAAAGGGATTATCATTCTCTTTCAAACGTAGAATATTGTAAAGCGATCAGGCCTAAATAATCTCTTGATTGGCTTTATCAAAAAGGTTTCATAAAAGATAAATCAATATAAAACATAAGGATTTAAGTTTTTGCAGTAGATTGAACTGGTTGAAAGCTTAAGGAGGAGGTAAGACAAGCGCCATTATTTGGCCCTTGAAATTGCGAAAATAGTAAAAATTCTCCAATCCTGCAAAAACTATTTTAGTCATACTGATAAATAAAAACAGTGATATAAACTGAACCTTTTGTTAAAATTAATCACACGCAGAAAAAAAGAAAAAAGTTTTTTACCTCTATTGGCAGCCTTCATCTCAAAATGAGGCTAGTTTTGTGTGAAATAAAAGAAATTGAAGCCCTACATGGAATTCGCAAAACACAATTCAATATTGATACTGATATTTGACAGACTACTGCACTGTGAAAATCGGCGGAAGTTATCCCATAGATTAAGTATATTCATACATGTTGTGTCATTGGTAATCATACCGCATCTTCTTATTTCTATATGTACCTTCTCCTTTGTCATGTCGTCTGTACATGTTTGTATTTAGTAGAAGCCGTATCTTATAAGAGAGGCGAAAGATACCAGAGGGACATTCAAACTCATAAGTCGAAAATAAACTGATAACGCCATGGCTAAAAAAGAAAAGGACCAACAAGCAAACAGTACACAAAAAAAACATAGAAAGCTAAAGACTGAGCAACACGAACCCTACCAAAAACTGGGGGTTATCTAAGGTGCTCCGGAAGGGTAAGCAGATCCTGCTCCACATGTGGCACCCGTCGTGTTGCTCATGTTAGTACAAACCCGGCAATAAGTCTTATTCGTTAGGTCATATTCGGGAAAAGGGGACGGGATTGAAGTTACGACAATAGGAACATATCCGCTATCATCTGTGAAACGGATATTCCATAACGTCAACCAACCTTTGATGGCGTCCGTAAAACTTACGAAGGGATGATTTCAACTTCACCACTTAGAACTCTTGCATTAATAGCTTCCTAGTGAGCAGCAACCCTCCATCAAGGAAAGCATGATAGGAAATACAGGCCTGGAATAGTGTATCAACTGGGAGATATATGCAGGCGCTTCTGGAATGTTGCTAAGAAATAGAAAGTTCACAATTGGGAAGCTGAAATCATCTCTTTTAAAAGAGACACATGACTGGCGTTTAAAAGAGACACATGACTGGCGTACAAAATTTGAATCCTGGTATCTATAATGAGTTAGTTACAACCACTGGGTCGATGCCACTGCTGGTAGAGTTTTCTCCCCGAGAGTATCACCAGCCCAGTAGTCAGCACTTCTGTGTTGACATGAATTATCATTGACATGGTCATAATTATAAATTAACTGTTTATTAAACTTTAATTTTTTTGAAAAATACTTAGGATTTTCTACCCCAGGAATAGATAAACTTAGCTGTATTTGGCAAAACCTTTCGGAATTTTGGATCCTCAATGCTCTTCAACTTCGTACTTTATTTGGCCTTTTCAAATTTTTTTATCTGAGCGTCATTGGTGAGTCTTATGTAGACGAAATGCGATTTTGCCGTACAAAACTTGAATCCTGGTATCTATGATGAGTTTATTTATGACAACTAATGCTTACATCTATAAACGATTCCAATACTTTGATCCTTTATTACGAACGCATCAAAGTTGTTGTTACGTAATCACCATGAATACCTAGAAGTGTAGATATTCGTGAATAACACAGCGGCTTTCTAACAAGAAAATAAAAGAAAATACACCCCAAGTTCTACAACAATAGAAAGATTCAAAGCTTGAAATAACTCCGATTCTGTAAATCTATTTCTATTTCATTTTTCAACACGGATTACGATAAGTCCATTATTGATAAATCTAGGATACAGCTAATTAAAAATAATCATGTAAACAAAGGTGACAGTAGTTTACTGATATTCAAATTTCATTTATCAATTATGAAGATATCAATCAAGTTAAAACAAACAAAACCTGATGGATTTGAACGAAATTAAAAAAGAATTAGAACAGGGCGTCGACAGGGTAAACGTCTTCAGCTACGCATGCGTCACCCGCCATACAAATAAACAATCGGGCAAAATGTTACAATCAAGAATAAGCCACAATCGGAAAAATTAAAAATCAGACGACTGTTCTGATTTCTAAAAATCTAGCAAGTTAAGACACATCTCATCGATCAACCCATTTGTGATGGTGACCGTAAAACTTATATAGTACCGATTGCATCCTCATTACTCTGTTTGAACAGTGTTTCTGTATAAGAAGCATATCACTATTAATGAATTCCGTATAGTGTGAACATACACGAGCGTAAAGTATCAATTAAGAAATGTCAACGACATATGATGATGCAGACGGTATGTTACTGCTGAGAAATGGGAAGTTTACTTTTAGAAATGATGTGAAATTATCACGTTTCTAATAGATTCTAGTTTAAAGTTGTCATTTTGCGTCAAAATTGAGGAAAAGATCAAGATATGAAGAAGACCTCCTTGTTTCGGTAGTATCCTTAATCTCAGGCACTCACTTATATGTGGGGTTTCGAGTGATAGGTCACCAGTATATACTATCTGAAAGTGAAATTAAAAGACCTTGCAAGATGTCTTTTCTTCTTGTCTTTGAAAATGTACTGTATGATTTCTGCTTCATATGAGTGCAAAAACAAGTCAACCATTTGGTGTGCGCAATGTGTACGGATAGAAGGTAAGACTGTTGAAATATGTGACCAGCCATGTGATTTCCAGGCTTATTGTGGTATTTAGTCTTATCGATATATGCAGGAAACAGTATTTCCACTTCACACAAAAAGTATATTTGTACTTGCAAGCAAAAAATGAAACCAAAGTGAAGTGTTATACCTTATTCAAAAATACTTTGAGACGACAATCAAACATCGTTTAATTGATTAATAAAGCATCAAGACATTTAGTATAGGAATAAATTTGTATGTAAACAGAATTTGACATAAACGCCGTTTTTCGCACAATGCATATATATCTCCATAAGCCTGGAAATGTCATGGTGGGTCACTTGTCTGTCTACCAAACTACTATGCGTAGAAACTAATTTGTTTTAAATATGTACTACTTTCCAGTATGTTCTTTTTTGACCGGGCCAGATTTGGTGGTGTTACATCTTATAAAGTCTATACAAATTATTTTTGCAAAGAATTCTGCTCGAGCCGGTGCTAGGGGCCGTCTTAAACTTGCAGTGAGGTGAGAGTTTTTTGACTCTGTGTTAAAGGCATCACTGCGACTTTGAGATGAGAACACTAATAAAATCGCTGTTTTTTTGCTTTTTGTGTGTTTTTTTTTTGCTGTGCATACAATGATTCGTGTCATGAATGGATACCCCATATCCTTTATTTTTCTATTATACA